TAAGTTGCTAAAGCATTAACTATACTTTCGATAAGAGAAAGGCATCCGTCGCTAAGTTCTAAGCTTTTAAAGACGTAAAAAAAGTAACGAAAAGCAAATTCTTTTAATACGTAACATCGATTAAAAGCTTATTATTTATATTTATAAAAGAATTCGATTAGTTTATCGCAAGCTTATTAAACGAGCCGCTCGAATCGAGCAGCTACGCTAATATATCGAAAGGTTTTATAACTACTTACGGCACTTTTAACGCTAACGAAGTATACAAATAGCTAGAAATTCAAACGGCATTTTACGCTTTTATTAGCTAAGTAAAAACTTAAAAAATGCTCGAGCAAGATCCGCGTATGCTCGCGAGTAAAGCAAAGACTTATATAGCTTTTAAGTACTTTGAAAACGTATTTATAAGCTTTATAATTAATAGCGGAGCAACTAATTTCTTTACCGCTAGCTTGCTTTAGCTACGAGCACTTTAAAAGAAATACTTCGAAGTTCAATTAAATACATTTCGAGCAAAAGAGAAGTCCGTTAAATACGAGATCGGCTTTGCTATTTTTATTAAAGCAATTATTTTAAGTATTCTTTTAAGTCAAGTAAAGTTCTACGTTATAAAAAGCGACGTACTTTTTTTATTCTTATTAGCTAATATAAATAAGCATAAAGTGATCTTAAATAACTTGCGAAACGTATTAATTTAAAAGAAAAAAGAAATACTAATAATAAAGATGTTTAAGCACGTGTAAATGCTATTAAATAAAGAGCACGCTATTATTTATTATAGCATCGAAAGCGAGACCGTCTATTACTACTTTACGGAAAAGCAATTAAAGACTATTTATAAGCGTTTTAGCTACTTCTTAGTAAGTCGATTTGCTATTGTTCTTAAAAAAGTCGAGCACGAATTCAAACGAGATTTACTTCATAACATTTAAAAGTTTTACTATTACTATTAAGTATTCGGACGTTTTTCGAAAAGGTTTAGTATTAGACTTAAAGATAATATTAACTTTAATAACATAATATACGTCGATATAATATACTTAAACGGCAAAAACGTATTGCACGTCGTTTACGACTTTATTAATTTTCAAGCCGTTACTTTCTTTAAAAGCATATCCGCATAGCATTTACTTAAAGGATTTAATCGATATTAAATTAATACTTACGTCGAGCTTTTTATAAACGTAATATACGATCTCGGAACTAACTTCAATTTAGCGACGTTCCGAAAGTACTTTAAAAGTATTAAAAGCACTTCGAAGCAAATGCTTATAAAAGCCTATCATAGCGTCGAGCTAATAAAACGCTATTACGTCTTTATACGACGCGCTTTTAAGATCGTTATAAAAGAGCTTTTAAAGACTTTAAAAGAAGACCGGCTTTAAATAGCTATCAAAGCTATCAACGATACAGCTAGACTTAATAGCTTAGTTCTTATATTCTTCGTTTTTAAAACCTTACTAAAGCTAACAAAACAAGATCGACTTGCTGCGTTTACTTAAAAGCGTGCTATTGCTATTAACAAGGCTATAAAAGAAGTACGAAAATGCTACGCAACGAAGCAAGTTAAAGACGCGTTTAAGAAAAAGAATAGACTAATTACGGAATATACTGTAAACACCCTGCCTGATGGGGTACCTGCTATGGCCACTAAGGCTATACTAGACGGACCTATCTTCTATAAGAGGGCACACATCTTCTAGCTAGAACAATTAACGAGCTTTCCACCTACCTTTTTTAACACTTTTTTTATAAGATTATAAAGTCTAGCTTTAGAGCTAAGCTTTTGTACAATACATCTTTTTAAGTGCTTTTATATTAATAACTTACGCAAAGATTTAAACCTTTAGTCTTTGTCTTTATATAACTTATTATAATCGCTTAATTCGCAGTCAAGTTGATCTTCGTTCATCATTTAGCACTTCACTTTACAATTACAATATCAAAACAATCAAAACCTTATTCCCGATAAGTTCGGACACCGAAACGCCGAAATAGCTAAAGTGCAATATTTCGGCTTTTCGGTAAAAACTCTCTTTTATTATCAATAAAAAAGAATTTTCATTTATTAATAAAAATATCTTTTTATACCTTAGCTCTTATCTTAAATTAAAGCAATTGACATAGTCCGGAGTTATTAGCGAAGCTAATCAATTGATTCTTAAGTTTTTTATAATTTTGATTTTAACTATTAGTTTACTTTTGTAAAAGATCTATTCTTTTTAATCTTAAATCGAAAATACTTTGCGAAAATCGCTTATTTTACTTATAAACCCGATTTACGAGTCAAAATTAAACAATTCAAAAACCTTTTATCAACTCGATCTTTCTTAATATACATATATATCTGATCTTTAGAATACCGAAAACCTTTTTAAGATTTTTAATATCGAAGTCGGCGTAAAGTCACTTCCTTTTTCGTTAGAATCTTTTAAATTTGTTAAATCTTTTAATCGTATTCTTATAAGCTTCGGACTATCTTTATCTTACTTCGACTTTTAACTTAAACCTTTACCGCTACTTCTATCGGAAACACTTGCTTTAAAAATGCTTTTTAAAATGAACACCGATCTTAAGATCTATACTACTCTTCTTCTTTTTGCTCTTCTTGTCTTTCTATTAAGCCTTGCGCTAATTATAATCGACCTTGCTATCTTTTACGCTTTTATAACTACTCGCATACTATTGCTAAATGCTTTAAGAGCTCTTTGCTTTAATAATGCTAATATTATCGACTTTATTAAGAAGTACGAAAAGACTTGTGATGACTTTAGTATTTTTAAAAACGATCGGTTTATTAAGCTCTTTCGTTATTACGATAACTTTCGCAAAGAGATCATTAAAAGCTTGCTCGAATAAAAAGCTAAGAAAGATTAAGCTGCTTTCGTTAAAGCTTTAAAAGCCGAGTTTCGTAAGAACGATACTTAGCAAATCAAAGACTCGGTCGCTTTCTTACGAGAATTTGCTATGCAAGAACAAGATATCAACGACTTAAAAAACTATTATCGCACTTTTTTTCGAGTCTTCGAAAAGCTTACTTTTATGCACCTTTTAAGCAAGATCGAATAAAGCCGCTTATTCTTTTTCGGATTGCTCGTCGGAATCCGAAACAAGACAATCAAGTATTGCAAAGTCGACGAACTCGACTTAAACTCTTATGCCGCTTTCGACGACTTCGCTACATTCGCTTTTAAGACCGACTAAAGTATTAAGACTATCGAAGCTATAAATCGAGAAAAGTCTTTTTTAATCAACTTTATTAAAGATATTCGGACTTTAGTTAAAGAATATACCGAACTAGCTAGCGTTTTTGAGTCTGTTAAGAAAGCTTTAATAATAGTGCCGTTTATTCGTAAACTACGGTTCACGAATGAAAAAAAAGAAATTAATAAAGTAAGTTTTATAATTAAAAAGTTTTCTAACTTATAGATTAATGCAATTTATAATCGAATTGATTACTTCGAAGATTAAATCGCTAACTTAACTTCTCGACGCTTTGTTTAATCTCAACTTTAAGTTCGATTCGAAGACCGCGACGAAACTTTTATTAAGTATACCGCTTAAGATGCTCGAAGTAAAGTCAGCTTCGAAAGTAAGGTTTAAATTGCTATTATCGGTTACGGATTATAAAGACGAAGAAGAAAAGAAAATAAAAGATATAAGAACTAAATGCAAGATTATAGCTTTTACGAAAACTCCGAAAACATAACTTAAGCTTTTTATTAATATTAAGATGAATATAAAGCTTTTAAAAACATAGTTAATAAAAGATGTATTTATATCAATAATTACGGACGCTTTTGCTTAAAGCTTAAAAAGATCGGCGCTTTTATTATCTAAAAGAAGCAAAGAAAGATTTAGTTTAGATCTATCGTTTTAAACGTTCGTAAGACGGAATACAATAATATCTTAGAAAATCGACTTACTAGCGGATTTAAGACTTATAAACACTTGTGTTAGATTGCTTCC